TTCATTCTGTTTGTCTCTCATTCTGCCTCTTTAGTGATGGTCCCATCTGTCGAATCTGTCATGAAGGTGGAAATGGGGAGGGACTGCTTTCCCCATGTGACTGCACAGGAACACTGGGCACCGTGCACAAGAGCTGCCTGGAAAAATGGTTATCCTCCTCCAACACAAGTTACTGTGAGCTCTGCCACACAGAATTTGTTGTAGAAAGAAGACCAAGACCCTTGACAGAGGTACCATTTTCTTCCTGATTCATTTTTATTGCCATATCATTTGAGAAAAAATGACTGATTGCCCTACTGTTCTTCTAGTTCTTGGCATCTCCTCATTGCAGTACCTTTGTACTCACAAAGACTCTGTTTGGAGAGATCAAGTCCCTTGTCAGGCCAAGTGATGTAGTTGCAAACACACAGTAGTGCTGTTTGGGGCAGCTCCTACCTGTGACCTGCCCATGTGCCACCTGCCAGTGGCAAGCACTGTGCTTTGGCTGTGCTTTAATGCCTGAGCATCAAAATACTGGTGCCACTACATGACTGACTGAAATATGAAGTTCTCATAAATACTCTTTTTTTTTTTTTTTTTTTTGCTCCTGGTTTTAGTGCAGCTCTCTTGCATGTGCCTTCCTTGTCATGTTCCATTCTGAAAAGTGAGATGTGGTGATTGCTGATACTGTTTGTAAAAGACCTGTCTTCCCATGACTAATATTGATGTGTGCTCCTTTAGGCCTTGCTCCTTCCTGCTGCTCTGTGCTCCTCCCAGTTGAAAGAGAAAACAGGACAGGGCTCAGCTGGTCCTTTTGTTCCTCTCTGTGTTGACCACAGGGGATCAGTCCATCAGCCTCCCAGAACTGGAACATACAACACGGGCTCTGGCTGGTGGGTTGGGGTTTTTTTTGTTTTGGGAACAAAGGCAGCGTGGACCAGGCCGTTGTCTGACCTCAGGCTTCAAGTGTGCATCCCCAAATGAGGAATAAGTAAACCAGTGAGGCCAATACAAAAGGCTTAAGGATTTGTTTTAGAAGATGGTTTAATATGTCTGCAGTTGAGCAAGCTCTCCCATGTCAGTGTGCTGCTGGCTTGGCTTGGTGGTTCCTTCAACACACTGTGCAACTGCAGAGAAGCATCACTCTGCAGCTGGGCATTTGCACTTAACAATTTTGGGAGTCCCACGTTCCCGGAGTCATCAGCAGTGGGAGCTCTGGGAGCTGATTCTTAGCACCAGACTCCTGTTACCTGTCAGCTGTCGGAGATTTGTCGCTGCCTGCCACCAGAGCGTGTGTGGAGGCAGAGTTATTTCGGATTTGTAGTGCTGACTGCTCTTGTCCACTCTCTCGTGCCCCTTGCCCCCTTAGTTAGATCAAAACTGAGTCACAACTGGAATTCTAAGTTGCTTTCCACATTTCTGTTTCTATTCCCATTGATTCCAGAGGTTGCTTCTTTTCTCTTCCCACTTCCCTCTGGAAACAATATTGCCCCCTCTTCCTTTCCAGAGTCCCCAGCTCGATTTCTCTTACTCCCATCTCCTAGGTGAACCTTGGAGTGGAAAAGAGTCCACCAACTGGGGAAGCATTCAAGCTTTAGTTTGCAAAGTAGATACTAAGTTTTAATGACTGTTTAACTTACAACTGACTGTCATGGACTTGACAGCCCCAGACAGGAGGCTTTCACCTACAGTGCTAACCCAAACCATGTATCCAGCACAAATTTGTATGAGCATTACCTCAGTGGTTACTGCTGTTGGGGTCTTACTGCTTCTCTCCTAGCTGCTCAGACATATAAATTGGTGCTTTGGCCAGTGTCTCTCAAACAGTTGTTTCAGAGGTTGCAAAACACTGCTTTAAAACATTTAGGAAGGACTGTACCTTGGCTTTGAGAACACAGTGCAGGCAAGCCCAGGGGCAGTGATCTTGCTAAGCCCTTTATGAAGGCCAAGTTGTGAGTGCAGGTCTCAGATGTTTTAGCTTAAGAGCTGGTAAATATTCCTAGCCAGAAACAAACACATGGGAGTGCGTTCAGCCATCTTTCACAATGCTGTGTCTCCTCATAACAAACATAGGCTTGGAAAACTGCACACTCAAATAAAAGCTCAAAGGCCAGTGTGTATTGGAGGAGTTTTTCCTGTGACACCAACTCTGTGCCTCTATCTGGCATGAGGAGCTTGCTGTACTTGTCTGTACTTCAGTGTGGGTGAATGAGCATTCCAGGACAATCAATTTTAATTCCTGTTGAAATTTGTGAAAAGCCCCTCTGGACTGGAGCTTATAAGGGTATGGTGATCAACAAACTGTGAGTGCTGAGAGGTGATGGGTGGGCAGCATTTAATGAACTCAAACACAGGAGAACTGCCACTATGTGTTCAGAGAGGAATGGACTTCTTGAGCCATTACTGCCAGCTGGCAAGGCTTTGGGATTCCAGTGATTTGTTACTTCTGGTGGTTTTGGACTGTCTGTTAACACCGTGAAGGGGATGATCTACTCTGTTGTGGTGTCTGCTGAGGAGCAGCTTGCCTAAAGTGCCTTGTGAGCCTGGAGGCTGGTAAGCACCTGATGAAAAGTCACCAGGTAGCTGGTGAGAGCGATCCCTGCTGCAGAGCAGAGCCTAATGTGGTACAGCCCCTGGGAACAGAGCAGTTCCCTTGCCAGCAGCTCAGGGGCAGAAAGGTTTTCCCTGGCTGGGAAAGCAGCATACAGCCTGATTTAACACAGGCCATGGTAGCAGGCTGTTCTTCCCCTCTTGCAGGGCTGACAGCATGCCCCCAGGCGATGGAGTGCGGTGGGTGTGATTTATTAAAAAAATATGGATATTGATCTAGTATCAATATCAAACTGTGACGGACAAAAACTCTCTAACAGTTTAAAGTTAGAAAGTGTATGTTTATTCGATGCCGGGCAGCGTGCGGGATAGCTCCCAAATACACACCGCCCCTTCCAGGTGATTACAGAGTCTTTTTATCCATACAAGTATTGAATATACAAAATACAAATACAAATATTCATCATTTTGGTACATCCCATTCCCCGCTTCGTATGCTAATCACTCCAAAAGCTGTTAAGCATGCGTAGTTTGTCCCTTGAAATGGGTCAGTGGTCCCTTTTATGGGGAGGGGTCCCAAAATGAGGAAGTCAATGAAGTCTTCCTCCTTCTGACCTTTCTACCTTTTCAATGCAAGTATGACAAATGAACTCTTGGTAGAACTCCCATTCCTTGTCTTCAATTGGTTTCAGAACAGAGGAGGCCCACAATTGTCTTATGTTCCTAAAAACTATTTATCAGTTTCTATATTCTTCATTATAAACCCAGTAGCAGGCTCTGCCCTCAGTGCCGAGCCCTTTGGGAAGGAGCAGATAACCCCTTGGCCAGCTGGCTGGCGCTTTCCATTCATACTCTGCCTGCAGGGATGAGTGAATCTCATCCCCATACCAGAACGGGCTGCAGCTCTTCACCAAATACTTTTGGGAAGTGTCATCTCCAAGCTGTTCATCTGTTTCTGAGAAGAGGGCTGGGGAAAGAGGCTGCTTAGTCATTTAAAAATGTCACAGTTCCCCGAGCCACCTTATCTGGGAAGTTCTCTGCCTCTCGGTTGTTTGTGAGGAGGGTGGGGAGTGTTTTGAAACTTTGGGGGAAGTGATGTTTTTGGCGAGTGTGCTGTTGAGGAGCTCTGATAAAAATCCACTGCTTACCAAGCAAAGCTGTGAAATCAACATAGAAATTAAGAGCAGAGGATAAATGGATGGAGACTAGGACTAGGAATGATGCAGGAGCATGCTGCATGGCAGAAGGGTCTGTCCCATGTGTGAAAGGCTATCCAACCATTCTAGCTCTCTTTTGCTGTCACCTGGCCACAAGGGAATTTGGTGACATGCTGCCTGCTGCTGCTGCTGCGTGTCTGAGGAGAAAGCTGCTCTTGCTGTTGGTTCTGCCATGTCCTGCCTTTCCAGCATGGGGAAACTTAGAGCTGGTCATAGTGGCTGCAGCAGTCACGGGTCAGCACTGCTCATCTCTGGGAAGGGACTATCAGCTTCATTAAGAACTGGCTTTGTCATGTGGTTTTGAGATCCTTCAGAAGGAGAGGGCCTGAGGCTAATTTTGGGCTGCAGGAGACATTTTGGTGAGTAGTGGGGGGAAGCTACATGGCCAAGTTGAAATGCTTCTTGTGTAAACTTCCTGATTTCTTAGAAGTCAGGAAAGGCCATGACCAAAATTGCCTTAGTTTTTACTTCAGGCCTCTTGTCTATCTGTGTTACAGTGTGGTCTTCATGGTCACAGGCTGCATCTTCCAGGAGGATGCATGGATGAAAGATGCTCACTAGCTACTGTATTAATCCTGCTGTGTCCCTGCTCACCAAGACCAAACTATTCATTTTCTCACTAGCTTCTCTGGGGTACTTATTGCTGTGACATCCAAGCACTTGATAAACAGTAATTGAATTTTGCAGCCTTTTTTACAGAGGACAGTTGTCAACTTTGTCCAGTATGGATTAAAGATAATTTCTTAATAGAATTATATTTTTGTTTTCTTTAAGCAGCCATTGATTTATGTTGTGGTCTGGTTGATGTAAAAACACTAACAGTGTTGACTGCCAGTGTGCCTGATCTCTGAACCTGGAGTGGGGAACTCATCTGAGCCCAGAGCCAGCTCTGGCAACCACAGGCTGGCCCACGGGTGTGGGGGAAATACCTCCTGCAGTTCAGCCTAGTTGAGCTTTTTTTAACTAAGAAGCTAGTTGAAAGCTTAAAAGAAAAAAAAACTTTTGAAAACTTGTCAGGCTGTGGAGTGGTGGCATGTTTTGAACACCTGCAGGGGGAGATGGGGAATTGACCTGCTGCCTTGGGTGGAGAGTTGTAGCCAGAGGTGCAGAACGCTGGTGCCTGTGCTGTGAGAGGACAGAAGGCTTCTGCTCAGCTCTGAAGTGGTCTCCAGCACAAGACAGTTGTGGACCAAGGTTCTTGAGTGAGGAGCATGTCCTCAGAAGAGAACAAAATGGCCAAGCCTCAGAGAGGGATAGTTTTCCTATATGATTGTTTATTTAATGGACCTCCATATGTTTACAGGAAAGTGATCTGACTCCAGGACACTCTAGCCAGAGTGGCTGGCATAGTCAAAAAAGGCAAATTACTTTGTGTGTTCCCAGAAGATTTCATCATTTGATATTTAGATGAAGTGTTTGAAGTGTAAGTTGCAGCAGACACAGTTTCCCTGGAGGAAGTACTTTCCTCTTTGTTCTAATAATATCATGCACAGGAAATATGCAGTTACTGCCCAGGATTCCTCCTAGGGAGTAGCTGAACCTTTGCTTCCAGAGCATGGTAGAAGGAGGAGCACAGGCCTTTGGACCTGAAGGATTGCTGTAGCCTAGACAGCTCTTTCTCCCAGACCACAGATGGTCATACAATTCTCTAGGCATGATTGAGTTTATTTGCCCTAACCTTTCATGCTTTAAATGTGCCTCAGACAGACCTTGTTCCTTAAAGTCCTATATAGTGTAGGGAGAGAAGGGAATACCTCTTGTGATCAATTAATTCCTGCCTCCTTAGAAGGCTGAGTTAGGATGTGTCAACTTGTCTGGAGGAGCCTGTCTCTTCCTGGCTGTAGGAGATCCAGGCAACTTGTGTATGAGTCAAAAGATTGCCTCCCCTGCCTCTGTCCTTAATGTTCTCCCTTCCACATAAACTCTTCTCTTTGGTCTGGGGCAAAATCCATCACAAACCTATTTTCTCTTACAAAGTGGTCTTCCTGCAGGAGATACTTTGTCCTTTGGGATTTCAGGCAGAGCTGTGTGGATGGAGGCATTTGGGACTGTATTGGATGCATTGTGTATTTCCAGCAAGCATTACCAGGGGTGAGAGTGTGGCTGTGTTCCTACAGCCACAAGCCCTTCTGCACAGCTCGTGGCCTTCTCCCTGCCTGCAGCTCACTGCCCACAGGGGGACCTGGCTGTGTGGGTTGGTCTGTATTGGTGTACCTGAGCCCACTCCTGCCCATTTTTACTTTCCCAGGTTACCAGCAAAAGTATTTCCTTTCCATGGCAGCCTTGTTTTGTGTGTTTTGCTGTGGCACCCACCCTCTCTTATTTCTGTCTTCAGTTCATTAACCGCTTGTAAAGTGTTAAAGCTTCAAGCTATTGTTAATTTTGTCCCCTCTGAGTGTTTCTCAATGGGCTGAAGAGAAGCACCACTTCGGCAGCCCAAAGATTCCTTTTCGGGCCATCTGCCCTTGCTGTAAACCAGCTTTGGTTTGCAGTCCTGGCATGGGGAGGGCTCAGGTCAGGTCTGTGCTGCCAGCCAGGCCTCTGAGGAAATGTCCCGGGCTTGCAGGTCAGGCAGGTGTCAGAGCAGCAGCTGTTCCGTCCCAGCAGAGATCTCTCCATACTCCACAGGAAGGGTGTGTTGTTGTTCACACATCATGTAAATACCAGGGAGAGGAGCCAGGAGGTTTCAGTCTGTGCTCCGAGAGAGGACACAAACTGCTGGTGGAGAATGTCCTTTAGCAAAGACTCCGGCTTTGCTAAAATTGCTGAGAGGTTGAAAGTCAACATACCCTCATGGTGAAAGCTAACAAGTATACTGCATGACTTGATCATAATGCTTCTGCAAGCATTTAATTCCTCTGCTAAGGCAAAACTCGTTTAAGACATCTCACTAATTCCAAAAAAGATTGCTCTGGTGAATCAGTCACTGTTGGAGCAGACCAGCTACCCTTTTTGTTTCCCTATTTCTGTCCTTGCTAGCAAATCTCATCGGGGAGTCCCAAGAAAATTCTGCTTCCATGTCTTCAGAGCTGGTGTTTTCCAGCAATGTGTGTTTTAACAGCTTTATTTATAAATGGGCTGCTTTAGTAATTCTGGTGTGTTCCTTTGCCTCCTCAAAACAGCTCCTCCCTCCAAGAGTGCTGTGCTATACAGGAGCCTGACAGTTTTTGCTCCTGCTGTTGTTCTTGGAGTTTATGGTGCAGTTTTGATTAAAGATGATTACTTTGCAATGACTGCTAACACTTTTAGTTCACTTAAACTGCATATTTTATGTAGGTCAGTGGATTATTTTTTTGCCTTTTGAAAGTACAGTTTTCAAACACAATGTCACACGCAACAAAATGTGTTTGAAATTCTCTGAGGAGTTGCTTGTCTGCTGATTACGGTAGAGTAGGGGACACCTCCTATGGGTCTGTCACTGCAGTCCTTCTGCTTAGTCTCCTGAGTCTCCTGCGCCTCTGTGGCTGTGGGAGGTGCTGCAGAGATGTCCCTGGAACAGGAAAAGGGAGGTTGGCGGGCAGGAATTGTGATGTTACTTCTGCTTACGTTGTTAGGGAAAGAAGTTTTGCCTCTGGCCGCAGTGCCTGGCGCAGCACTCGCTGTCCCCACTCCAGTTCGGAGAACTGAGCTGTGATATAAGCTCTCCCCCACCCTTCCTCCAGCCTTATCTTCCTTGCAGACAGACTTTTCCCTTTGCTTTCCTCGAACTCTTCTGCTGAACTCACTGCACCGTTGTCCGATCCGTGTTCCTCTACCCTTCCCCAGCCCACCTCTCTTCTTGCTCAAGACACTCCTCTTTTACACTCCTGGATCTAGGGAAAAACAATTCCTTCTTGGTTCCAGCTGAGTTCCACCCCTCCAATCTTTTCCTTTCTCTCCCTGCTTGAGTTTGCTGTCTGGAGATACTGGTCACAGGTCCAACATGAGATCCTCTTGGCACTTCTCTGTGCAGTCCTGGGCACTGCTCTGCATAAAGCAATGGCCTGTGTGGGCCAAAACAGGAAATACCCTTGCACTCTTGATACTCACCAGCACTAGTCTTCCACTTCACCTGTCCATCTTCACCACTTTGTCTGGCCCTGTCTGTGCTGTGCTGATCCAGAAGACCAGTGAGCTTTCTCTGAGGTGCAGGTGCTGGCAGTGCTGTGATTCCATACTGGTGCATGTTGTGGTGTGGCATTTGCCATGGTGCCACCAACCATGGAAGCTCGTGCTCTGGAGGAAAGTGTCCCAGTGACTTGCAGCACTGCTTGGGTCTCTTCCTCTCCTGTCCACCATTTCTAGTGCTCCTGAATCTCTTGGGTCAGCCCAGAGCCCTGTGCTTCCCAGCAGTGAGGGTGTATGGAAGGCTTTCATGCTGTACAAGGAGAGACTTGGTCTGTGGAGCATTGTTGGCAAGTAGCTGGGGAAAGGAGGATGAGGAGGGGCAGCTTTGTGCTGCAGCACTTAACTGCTCTGCTTGCAGGATTAGGGGCATTTCTGGGTCTTGGCTTCCTGAATTCTGGGTACTGTGTCAGAAAACATCCCTTCCCACCTTGGGGAAGGAAGAAGACCATTCTGCTGGGGCTGTCCATGGAGCTTGATGGCCTGCAGAAAGGTTTTGTGCAGGCCCAGAGAAAGGATGTGAGATCCCTGCATCAGAAGCTGTACTTTTTGATTCAACATGTTTCTCAGTACAGGGACAGGGTTGATCGTGCTGCTGTGACCAAGTTCATGTGATTTTTTTCCTGGCTTTTATAGCCAAGCAGCAGGTCAGCAGTGGAAGGTAAATCAGCAGGCACCTGAGAGGGGTAACTGGTGAGCAGAAAGCATGTGGGATGTTTTGTAATGCAGCCAAATACTTGTGTGGTGCTGTGGCTTGCCATCGAAGCTGTGAAGCACATGGGGAGCTCTGGCAGGGTCAGGTGCTGAGGCTGGCAGGTCACACTGGTCGTGGCACTTGCCCACCAGAATGAGGGGTCCAGGTGCAAGGCAGGGAGAGGCACGAGCTTGTGCTGATCCCTCCAGTGGGATGTGTTCATGAAACAGGCTGACAGCCAGGGGCATTCAGCTACACCAGGTAAGTCAGTAAGAATCAATGAAAGCTGATTTTTAAAATGCCCATTTTTAAGCCACCAGACAGACTGCAAGGTGCTGAGTGCTGCTGGGAGAGTCCCTCTTCTGTCCACTCCCCTTGGTCCCAAGGGGCAGAATGCAGCTCAGCCTTGAGATACATGAAGCAGCAGGTGCTGGGATGGACACACTGAGAGACTGCTCTGATATGCTTTGAGTTCTGCTCTTGGCTTCCAGAGGAGCTGATGATGTCCTGGTGCCTTTTACTGCCTGCTCCCCTCCTGCCTCCCATCACCTGGGCTCACCCAAGCTTCATGGGCACTGCAGCACCCAAATGATGTCTCATCATCCCACAGCCCTGCTGTGGCTCTAAAAAATGAGTTCCCTTCCACAACCCTACTGATCCCAGTATCTGGAAAAGCCTCAGGATCATGCTGGGGGACAAAGAAATTGGTTGTACCCAGAATTGTGTCACACAAGCAGAGAGAAGTTGTTTCAAGCAGGATCTAGGACTCAGTTTGTAGCCCAAATGGCAGCAAGCAGCCACCTTTGCCTCTTTAAGTCTCAGACATGATTGTAGTGTGGAAGCTGCTAGAAGAAGACCAAGTTGTGCTTTTGTTGCTTTCCCATGCTTACTTGATCATTTTCCTACAAAAATTGTTTAATCTGCCTGGCCACTTTATGGATTGTTCACAAAGTTTGTTTAAAGTCCTGTATGCACCAATGTGTTGCTGTGCCAAAAATGCTGCACCCTTAGAGTGGCTTATTGTTTTCCATTTTGTTACTGTGTCAGTACATATTGGTAAAGTAAATCAATTACTTCAAAAGGAAATTAATTTGCTTCCTGCCTTTATATGTTTGTCTCCCATCTTGGGGAGGAGGAAGGAGTTTTGAAAGTCACAAGGAATATAAATATAATTAAGATGCAGTAAAATACCTATTTGCCTGAGTTTCTTATTGTACAAGGGTCAGAGAAGGGCAACAGAGTTTGGGAAGGGTCTGGAGCACCAGGAGCAGCTGGGGGGGCTCAGCCTGGAGAAAAGGCAGCTCAGGGGAGACCTTCTGTTATCTCTCCCTAACAGGAAGATGCAGCCATGTGGGTGTTGAGCTCTGCTTCCAGGGAAGAAGGGACAGGATGAGAGTAGACAGCCTCAAGATGTGCCAGAAGAGGTTTAGGTTGGATATTGGTAAAATTTCTTCATGAAAAGGGTTGCCAGGCATTGGAACTGGCTGCCAGGACAATGGTGGAGCCGCCATCCCTGAAGTGTTCAAAAAATATGTGGATGACTTGAAGACATGGTTTGGTTTGGAAGTGGCTCTGGGTTGATGGTTGGACTTGATGATCTTGGAAGTCTTTTCCAACCTTAGTGATTCTGTGATTCTTTGAGGTTTTCTTTTGGCTGTCTGCCCATCAAGTCGTGCTCCAAATGGCTTTAGAATCAATTAATGTTCCTTGGCTCTTAATCACTGAAGTGTTCAGATGATTCAGGTCACATCCCTAAAATACCATGGTTATGAGTCCTCCCAGCTGGAATTCTGGGCCAGGCTCATTCCTGTTGCTGCAGCATCCTCTCCTCTGCTCATGGCCAGCTCAGTGCTGCAGAACCTGCTGTTCCTGTGGCTCTAACCAGCCCAGCTATCCCCCTATTCTATGCCCAGGTTTGCCAGCTTCCCTTTCTCTTTCCCATTTCCACAAAAATTTGCTGTGCTTCCATTCTTGCTCTTTTGCTCTGTCTCGCTGAACATCCATGCTGCAGTTAAAACTGCACTCACCTCTGCACCCCATGCTTTGCTTCCCTCTGTGTCTGTGCTCTCTGCATGCCTCTGGCCAGCCATGTCCTCAGGTTACCTCTGCTGAGGTCTCATGATTTCTTGCATACCTGTCACCACTACTTCTGTATTGCTCCTTAAAGGGTGGTTTCTGAGTAGGAAAGGAGCTTTGTGTGTGGAATTCCCAGATGAGTCCCTTCCTGAGCTGTCAGGTCCAAAGCAGGTACTGTACACAGTGGGATTGGCCTGATAGCCCACACCCTGATAGTCTCTTCCCTGTTCTGCCTGTGCCTTTTCAATAATAGTCTCCAAATGTTATTTAAAAATAAAATTTAAAAAATCCTGAATGAGGCAGTCATCTCTGTGAGGAGAAGGAAGAATCTACAGGCCAGCACACACAGATCCCAGTAAAGATGTGCTGTAACAACTTGGTATCTGTAGGAACCACAGCCTCTTGCTATTCTAGCAAAGGAAAGGAAAGACTAAAAATAGTATAATCCTAGGACAATAGAACAATTGCTTTTGCTGAAGTTAAGTATCTAAAATGAACCTACACTGGAAGCAAGTCAGGACTCCCAAAAAAAGAAACATGTGGAGATTGCCTGTGAAAATCTAAAATGCCGTGATTCTCCCACAGGAACCCGAGGGCTAGATTTGGGACAGATTCTCTTATAGCTTAGCCTTGCTGTAGACCCCAGGGCCCCTGTTTCCCAGAGCCCCTTCACCAGTTAAAGTCCTGGGTCTGAGTCTGTTGAAGTTTAGTCCAAGACCTGTCAGATCCATATTAAGCCAGGCTTTACTGATGTCCTGCAGTGCCTGCTCCTCACTACTCCAGAGCAGAGCCCAGGAGCTTCTGTGTTCACGACTGCCTTCCCCTGTACACATTCATTAACTTTCTTCCATTTCCCTTGTTAGCTGTTAAACCTAGACTTGACACTCTCTGTTCCATTGAGGAGAAGGTCGATGTGGGTCAGACTGCGCAGTGCAGGCGAGAGCTCCCGGCTCTGCCGCCGTGCTCGCTGCTGGCACAGGCTGATGCCCCTCTCCATCTCCCGCAGTGGCTGAAGGACCCCGGGCCCCGCAATGAGAAGAGGACGCTGTTCTGTGACATGGTGTGTTTCCTGTTCATCACTCCGCTGGCGGCCATCTCGGGCTGGCTGTGTCTGCGCGGGGCCCAGGACCACTTGCAGTTCAACAGCAGGCTGGAGGCCATCGGACTCATAGCACTCACTATTGCACTTTTCACCATCTACGTCCTCTGGACACTGGTAAGTGCCAGCTGCCAGCGTCCTGCTCCTGTCCAGCAGGAGCTGGGAGCGCTGCCTCACACCTCATAGTGCCACCTGCTATTTCTGCCTCCCCACGTGAGAGCACCTTGGGTGCTTCCACTTGAATGTCCATTTAATTATCTTCATGTTCCAGCTGCTAAAGCTGTTGCTGAGAATGGAAAATCACCTCCTGGTCATCTGCTTTCCAGACTGTCACAGTGTTCCCCAAGTGTCAAGAGCCCAACGATGTGGCGGAGCTGGGATGGGGCTGGGGCTGAGGCTGGGTGGGAAGGGCTTGGGGCTGGGTCAGGCAGTGGCCTATCTGTGGTTCAGGAAGAAACACAAACTTGGTACCTGGGCAGTGCAGGGAAAAAGTAAAATATGGAACACATTTGACACCTAAATAATTTACCACCATGTGCTTTTGCTGCTCAGCACAGACTGGCCGTGGAGGTCTCTGGCCACAACTAAACAAACTCCTACTCAGTGTTTTTAAGGTGTGTGGGAGTAACTCTCTGGCCCTGGGGAACCTGTGACTTCTCTGATGCTGGGCTGTGTGGTTGGCCTTGAGTCCAGGCTTGGTAGCCAGCGTGCCCTGGCCCACTGCTGTGTGGGGGGCACTGGAGGTTGCTGGGAACCTCCACCTGAGCCAGTCTGGGTGTTGAATTGATCCCTGCTGGGAGAGAGTTTTCTGCACATGCCTTGTTTGGCATTTCTGGACCTGCTGAATTAGGGGGCGAGGAGTTTGTCTCTTTGCAGGGAGCTGAGAAGAGCAGGACTGAGAGAGCGACTGCAGGTTTGGGTGTGGCACAAGTGGAGTTTCAGTGGGGCTGCCTGGACCCTCCCCAGGGCCGCTCTCTCTCTCGAGGGGCTGCTCTGCCAGGGACTTCCCTCTGTTTCCCATTCACTCCTTTTGTCTTGTGTTTCTGGGTGACTTCTGGGTTTGGATCTTGATTTTGGCTTTCCTATTCCAAGCAAGCCCTTTGTGTGCTCATGCCCTGTCAATGCCCTTTTCCAGCTGCTTGCAGGGAAGCATCATTTTGGGAAGGGAAGAAGTGCACTCAATGCAGGAGAAACAGTGGGACCTCAAAAAGCTGGGAGTCCTGTGGGAAATAGAAATTCCTCAGTCCATTTCCTTGTCGTCTCATGTTTCAATTTCTCAGAGCAACCCCTTCCCCTGGGGCTGGACACTCCTTACAACCCTTCCCCCACAGACCTGGGAGGCAGGGCAGGATGAACTGGTGCTGCAGCAGCCCCTGCTCTAGGGGTGAGCGTGCCTGGGGGCGAAGCTGGAGGTACTCCTTGCTTGGGAGCCATGGAGGAAAGTTTCCATGCTGCATGTTCCTGCAGGAAGCTTGTTTCCATAGGAAGCCAAGCTAAAACTGGAAACCTTAAGAGGAAGTGCTTCTGTCTTCTCTATCTCAGGACTGGTAGGGAGGAGCTGGAAACCTGGAGGAAATGGAAAAATGTTTGTGCAGTAACAAGTCCTGACTAAAATGGCTCTAATTCTACTGTGCTTCACTTTTCCTTGAGCAGAGGAGGACATTAGATAAAGCACCTTTATTCATGTTCAGTTCATTCAACCCTGGGCTGTGCAGTACAAGGGGTCGATGTGTAGGGGAGCGTTCAAGGCTGTAACCAGTGTGAGGGTTGTGAGAGAGGCTGTAGCCAAGGCTGCAGCTCCTTTGCAAGGGGCA